TCGTTTAGCGAAATTTTTTCTCAGAATCGGCATGTAACCGATATCGTTGTAATAGATATCTTTTTTATCTTTTACCTTTTACTTTTTTTATCTTATCTTCTCCTGCGAAGACATGTCTCAACGTGTTCGCCCCCTTTGTTCAACGTATGATGATAAATTTTTTTCTACGTAAAAAATTTGCGAGAAATATTTCTCCGCTAATATTTCTTAGAAATAAATAACGTATCTGTTATAAAGCAGCCGCGCTCAGCAGCCACTTTCCACTATGGAGGGAGGGGGGAGGTACCGTCAAAGAAACGCACTCCATAAATGTAGTAATAGATATGTGTTTTATCTTTTCAATTAATTGTTGATCGCTAGTGATAAAATTTTCACAAATAATAAGATGCAATTTAATTCGACCAAAAACTAGCTATTCATTTATTGAAAATAAGTACACACTACGTTTCGACCCACATTGTGCTCCTTTTCAAGTGTTGTTCTTATTCAGCAATTACATTAATTAAAAATAGAAACATGAAAGTTGTCCTGTCATATCGACAATCTGTTAGCTACTGTTAGCTACTGTCACAGTAGCTAACAGATTGTCGATATGACAGAACAACTTTCATGTTTCTATTTTTAATTAATGTAATTGCTGAATAAGAACAACACTTGAAAAGGACCACAATGTGGGTCGAAACGTAGTGTGTACTTATTTTCAATAAATGAATAGCCAGTTTTTGGTCGATTTAAATTGCATCTTATTATTTATATTTTATCTTTTGTTCCCTTGCTGATATTTCTTAGAAATAGATTACTTAGTAATAGATAACTTAGAAAGCTTCTCTTAGCTTGGGTAATAAATATCGTTGTAATAGGTATCTGTTTAGCTTTTGTCTTATCTTCCCCCTTCTTAGAAAAATAGATACTTTAGTAATAGCTTATCTTATCTTGGGTAATATATATCGTTGTAATAGATATCTATTTATCTTATCTTATTTTGGGTAATAGATATCTGTTTATCTTTTATTTATAAATATATCATGAAACATGAGCTGATAAGCGGCCCTTATCTTATAACTTGAGCTGATGAGATAAGCTTATCTTGTAACTTGAGCTGATAAGACCCCCTTCCCCGCATGACGTTATCCTCGCCCCCCGCCCTCACCCCCCTCATTGCCCCTCATTGAGTTAGAAGCCGCCTAGTCTATCTACTAACCCGATGTGCGAAGAGCGAAAGGCAAAAATTCAATTCACGAAAGCGCGCCGAACATGAGATCGCGATAATGTATTAACGTAAGCAAAAAGTAGAGTACATAATAAAATGGACAAAATATAGATACAAGAAAAAGGTAACAAAACGAAAACTCATCAGTAACGCGTTTTTTTTCTCCTCAAGGGGAGGAATGTCGTGACTTGACCTCACAAACTCCTTTTAGATAATAATAATACAACAAGATGGAAAAAAGGAGAAACACAATTAGAAAAGACCAGCAAAACTATTAATAAGCAAAATAAAGAAAGTAGGTAAGAGCGAGCGAATAAAACGAGTAGCGCGAACGCAACATTGATAGAAAAAAGAAGAACACTACACGTTGAAGTTACAGTGCCCCAAATTAAGGAGGATAAAAAAAATATGGACAGCAATCAAAAGAGGGGTCCAATAACGTGTCACCCGTACTAGTTTACATGCTGCTAAAGCGGGGAGCACACAGTTTTGCATAGGCGCATAAGCGTAAGCATAAGAATCTTGATTGGTCTATAAACATATGCATAAAAAATTCAACCAATCAAATTTCTTATGCATATGCTTATGCGTTTATGCAAAAGTATGTACTCCCCGCTTAAGCATAAGTATCGAAGAATAAAGTGTTGTTATACTTTAAATTCGTGGGTGTTTTACTCTGTACGTGGGTCCTAATCCTTTGGGCGTAACGATCCTATGCCAACAAATCCCTACATACGTTGACGGGCACAATTTGTAAAATAAAAAACTTGGATAGTTTTTTTTGGTTAATGTATCACAAATATTTATTATAACTAAATAATTATATTTTTTATAACTTTTTTGAAACATTTCATAAATTCCAAAACAGTAATATTACTTATATACTCTAATGCAGTGCTCGGAATTAGTTGCTCTTTTCGAGCCGATTTTGCGAGCGACGGGGTAGATCCCCCCACTACCGTCGAGGCTCGACGGCGGAGTCGTCGTTACTCCGGGCAACGCTATATCTCAGGAGCGTCGCTAAACATGTCAAGTTGTACCTTCCGCCAAATCGTCATTATTATTACATAATTTATATTTTTGTTAAATAATAACTGAATATTAACTTAATATTAACTTAATATTTAGTTATTATTTAACAAAAATATAAAATATGTAATAATAATGACGATTTGGCGGAAGGTACAACTTAACATGTTTAGCGACGCTCCTGAGATATAGCGTTGCCCGGAGTAACGACGACTCCGCCGTCGAGCCTCGACGGTAGTGGGGGGATCCACCCCGTCGCTCGCGAAATCGGCTCGAAAAGAGCAACTAATTCCGAGCACTGCTCTAATGTCATAAATTTAACACATACAATCAAATATTTTTATTAATGTTTTGTTACATTTTAAGTATTATTTTAATTATTTAATCATACATGTTTTTTGATGTGATTGATATTTCGTCAGCAAGATGTTTATCAAAATCATTAAGTATTTCCAAATTAATATCAGGATTTTCGACATTTAACAACCAAGATTGCTATAAAAATAGATACAATATTTTAAGTACATTTAAAAAGAATTGTATTGTATATATCAAAATTAAAAGATTATTCAGATAGTATTAACACTTACAGTAAATTTTGTCAAAAATACAAAACTGCAAATTATAATATTCAATACATACAGAAATTAGAAAAGACCAGCAAAACTATTCAATCTCATAATGCATTTTTGAAAAAAATTTGAAATTTAATTAACAAATAAGAGCTATAGTAATGCACACACACATTAAATTTAATGTAAAATAATCATTTAATTGATTATTTTGTGTACAAAATCTTATTTGGTGCAATATTGAGTTTTTTAAAATTAAATCTCAACTTGGAATTTTTAATTCTAAACCCTATTAGAAATTATTCATTGAATCTAATGCATTACTATCAGGAGACGCGGTAGCGTTTTCTAAGTATATCTTATTTTTAATTTAATCGAAAGATATCGAAAATATAGCGAAAACATGAAGAGATATCGAAAAAACCGAAAGAACGCTATTGCGTATCCTTTATCGGAGGGAACACAATTTCGTAAATATTTGAAACAATGATTTGAAATATCTCATAAACAGGAACATATTTTTCAAAAGATGGCTATATCAATATAAAGCGTGAATTTCTCCGCGTAAAATAATACCTTGACGAAGTTGATAGCTGCACTGATTGCAAAGATATAAATTTTTTTTAGAAATATTTAGGTAAAAAATGTGTCACTTTTTTATTAATATACGTCGTCGTACTTGTCTAGCCGCCATCTTGTCCGAGATGAGTGACCGTCAAGGCACGTAGTTGCTTACCCTCACACTTTGTCTCGCTCTCTCACACTGTCACATCCTCATAAACTTTCTCCCATCTTTTCCCACCCTTCCCCACTCTCCCCATTCTCTTTTACACTCTCACCCTCTTGCAGCCTCTTCCACCCTCACTCTTCTACCTTCTCCAACCCTTTTCAACCCACACTCATCCTCCCACTAACTCTCCCCTCTTCTCTCGCTTTTTCTCACCCTTTCCCACTCTCTCCCACCCTCTCCCATTCACTCCGACCCACACCCACCTTTTTTTGTTTTGCATTCGGTGCGAGAGGAGGAAATCCATTTATGGATACCCACGGGCCGGCCACACGGGTTATATGAGCTTCGGAAATCAACGTCAGCTCCCACTACGCACTAAAACCTCCCCCGGGTCCAAAACCGGACCCCTTTGCTGTTGTAATGACTGGACGCACAAGAACTGTTGTACATATAACTTTTGTGCACCCAGCCTAGTGTACGGTGTTCCATACCTTCCTTCTGTCTTCTCCTTGTTTCCCATTGGGTCTCCTCAGTTGCAAGCACACGCGCAAGTATTTGTTAGTACTCACTGCACTTTCACCCTTAAATTTTATTAGTACAAACCCAATGACCATGTATTATGTTTAGGTTAAGTACGTTTAAAATCCCTCTCATCTTAGTAGATTGCTATCTTTCGTCAGCCATTCCTTTGTACAATCCAGTCATCTGCGACGACGATTAGATTGCAAAAGACCCCGCACTAAACCACGTGAAATTGGGCCCCGGCGAAAATGGTTGAATTTGAAATATGTTGTTCCTTTTGGATCACTGAACAAATGTTTTCTCAGGCAAAATATTAAAAAATGGATAGTTTTGTTGTTTCAACCCTTCAAAAGCTTGCGATCAGACCAGCAAAGATATTACTTTCGGATCAATGCGGTTATTATTATAAGAGAACGATATGGATTTTTTGTGGCTAAAATAGTTCAAGAATAATTTGAGAGTACAATATAAAATAATGTTGACTCCGGTAACTATAACATAGGCTAATTGCAGGTGTAATAAAAACACTTAATATCATTGTTTCTGTTTAAGAGTACTAATTTTTTATAATTAAAGCTAATGGAATAGATTTTACTCTCAACCATTTATTTACTGTTTATTTTAAAACAAATAATGCGGAAAACGCTATGCATTATGGTTTTTTCCACAAAATTTAAGTCAGCAATAATCAGTTCTTGTAAACAAAGACATTTTCAAATTGTTTAAACAATACTGTCATATACAAATTATTTTTTAACTATTTTGTTTACTAAAAACTCATATCGTTGCCTTATAATGATAACCGCATTGATCCGAAAGTGGTATCTTTGCTGATCTCAAGCTTTTGAAAGATTGAAACGACAAAACTGCCCATTTTTGACATTTAACCTGAAGAAACATTTGTTCATTAAGTTAAAAGATACAATATATTTCAAATTCAGCTATTTCCGCCGGGGCCCAAATTCATAGGGTTTAATGTGGGGTCTCTTCTTCCATTACGCTGCTCGCGTGAGTTTTGCACTTCAAGCGCTTGTCGCTCACGCTTGCATCTTTCTTTGGCGAGCAGAACTGTCGTTGCAAACGCCAACCAGGCTTCCTCCGTTTGGACGATGGCCCGCATCACCGATCCCAAAGACATATCACAGTTAAGCGCATTGAGCAGGGCTCCTCTACTCTTGGTCCAGGCTATGCAATCGATAAGTGTATGATCTGCCGAGTCTTCCAGGTTTTGATCACAGTGTTTGCACATTGGATCTTCTTTCTTTCCTATTCTATGTAAATAGTTGGCGAAACATCCATAACCCGTAATGAGTTGAGTCATGTGATACGAAAACCCACCATGTTGTTTTTCTAGCTATTCCTTAAGAATGGGCAGGATTGTCTCCCTGACTCTATAGCCGGTTAAATTAGGATTCCTGAAATGCAAGTTCCATTGTCGAAGCATTGGCAACGATTCCGTCTCCTTGACTTCATTAGCCGCCTCTACTGATCACTTGCCATTAGATTTGAGATCGGAAATCTTCTCATATGTTCTCTTTCTAGCACTTGAAGCGGCGGTATTCTTGCGAGCACAAAGGCTGCTTTCAAGGAGACAGTACGGTAGGCCGCGACAATTCTATTATTGGTAGCTCTCATTAATCGGTTCAGCCGCGGAACATTCTTTCTGGATGTGAGCGCATCACTTCATATGAAAGCCGCGTAAAGAATGATCGATAATACTACATTGGCATGCAAGCGCCTCTTAGTTTCTTTTGGACCTCTGAGATTTGGCATAAGTCTTCCCAGGTATCACACTACTTTCGAGACCTTGATCTCTATATATTCCAAGTGTTTCTGGAATTTGCGCTTGCTGTCCAGCATTACTCTCAAATATTTTATACAAGTACCGACCACTATCTGTTCACCACTCATTGTGAGTATCGAAAAATTCTCCGGGTTCTTGAGCTCTCGATAAAACAAGAGAGCCTCCATTTTACTCACGGAGACTGTCAGTTCCAGTCGGGCTATACGATTCAAGATAAGGGCGACTTGAAGGTTAGCTCTCCTCCTGATTCTCTCTATGGTATCCGCAAACGCCAGGATGAGGATGTCGTCAGCATAACAAATTATGCGACAGCTATCCTTCGTCCCTTATTGTAAGACCTTATCGTATACAGTGTTCCACAGGGTCGATCCTAAGATCGAACCCTGCGGGATGCCAGCGAGTATAGCTTTTCTCACCAGCTTTCCTTCTTGAACGACATACTCCATCACACGTTGGTATAAGCAGTGGTCAATAATTCTGCGCAAGTAAGTAGGGAAGTTTCTTTGTTCCAACGCCTCTCTTATCGTTACCCATGGCAACAAGTTAAAAGTGTTAGCAATGTCTATGTATTGCAATAACCACACCTTTCTCACTGTTTACTTTCTCAATGATATTTTACAATTCTGGCCAAAGCATCACATGTCGAGTGCCCCTCTCTGAACCCAAATTGATTGTCCGACAGTTGATATTGTGGGTCACTATTTAATCAACTATTGATTCTATCAACAATTATTTTCTCAAAGATTTTCCCATTTTCGTTTAGCAAACATATTGTTCTAACTTTTGGAAGATCTTCCGAGATGGGTCCTCCTTTCGGTATAGAGACTATTTTTGCACACTTCCATCCCACCACCCACACCCATCTACTCTCACTCACACTCACCCTCTTCCACTCGCTCCCACTCTCTCCCACTCACTCCTACCCACTCCTACCCTTTCCCAACCTCTCTTATCCACTCTCACTCTGTCCCATTCTTTCTCATCTTCTCCACTCTCTCACCTCTATCCCTCTCTTTCTCTCTTTTTATATTTGTAATAATAGTACAGTTACTTGCGAGTTTTTCGATCGCGGAAAAATGTTAAAAAGCTGAATTTGATACAGATCTTCGTTTTTGCATAAGATTGAAAGAAAAAGAAGTTTATTATTATATATATATATATATATATATATATATACAGTATTTACAGTTTATTATCATACAGTATTATTATACATTCATTATTATACAGTTAAGAATAATTAAACAATTAGGGCTCAAAATTTTATCTGTTGCAAATATGTTGTTAAATATAAATTTGATTAAAAAAACAAGTGCTAAGATTTTGCAGAGGTAATTAGAGTACAAGTAATGCACTAAAGACTGAGCAATAAGCGTTTATTTCTGAATTTTACAATGAATTTCGCACTGATACACTGACACTTATTGAAAAAAAAATATACTGTGCAATACGGCGCGAGATAATCGATCAGACGTGTGCGCGTGAACAGTCGGTCGTCGAATATACAGAATATTAGAATATATATCAAGGCTTTCATTTGGGATTGAGAGTTGAGACGGTAAAAACGTTCTGTCTTTAGTAAACTTTTGTCTTTAGAAAAAACTGTGTCTATAAGATTTCGTATCTGATACTTGAAATTTCTATAAAATAATCACCAATTTTGTTTGAATCTCCATTTAATGTCTAACAACATTTCAATATGATGATTCAATCAAGATATCTCCCTTGACCAATAAATCAGGAGGCCTATACACATAGTGATTACACGGCACGGTCGCTCGATCTCAGTATGTTTTAACAATTTGCACTTGTCACACGCGATGACTTGTTTAGAAACACATGTAACGAGACAAAAAACTGACTTTTTATTATCTTGACATCGTTAATTGCCGTCTTTAATGTTCAATATTACATTTCAATTTATATATTAGGTCCTTGAATAAGTTCTCGCTGTTTCTTAAAAGATGGCGTAGCGGCACTCTGTGCATGGAATTTCGTACGGAAACGCATCAGCTAAGTAGTACTATATGTAACCTCAAATTCTAGTAGATACAGTTTACCACAGTGTCAACCACGTGTTTAATTACCTATTGCGAAAATGTCTACTTTTGTGCCAAATAAAGTGTTTTTGCGGGGAATTTTATTGCACTGCTTTATTCAAAAGAAATCTGCAGCTGAAGCACACAGAATTCATGTTGAAACATATGGTGACAATGCTCTGTCGAATACGACATGCAGAGACTGGTTTAGGCGCTTTAAAAATAATGACTTTGACCTTGAAGATAAAGAACGTTCTGGAGTACCGACAAAGTTTGAAGACGAAGAATTGGAGGCATTGCTGTGTGGTCTCTAATGATGGACAATACTTTGAGTAAAGTTATTGTAAGCCTTATATTTTAAATAAATGTTTTTTTTTTAACAAAAAAAACAGCGAGAACTTATTCAAGGACCTAATAATATTTGTATTGCGCTGAGGAAGGCTCGAAATGTCAGCCGAAACGTTCGCTTTAATGTGTATTTCTTATGTATTTATTATTTCGTTTAAATGCGAATAAATGATCACTTCTTATTTATTTCTCGTTCCGTTCAAATAAAGTTTTTTAATATCAACTGACAACTTTGTTATGTTTAATAGCTCTTATAGCCCTTCTTTGTTTACAATTATTAATTTAACAGAGCTAATACTATTTTTATACAAAATTAAAGTTTTGTAACAATGGCCCCCCATCGTCCCGACAAACCGTCGGAAGGCCGCGCCCAGCGAACATCAGCCGGGCAATGCAGCAGGCGCTTTGCGCCCCATAATTGCTTTTCATAAGGCCGATAAAACGGCGATATAATTATCACGTTACCGCGTGATACGGCACGAAACCGAGCGTGTCCGACGGCCGCCGAAACCAGCCGAACACCGCCGCCGCGTCGATGTATTGTTACCACGCGCGTATAAAAGATAGTTTGGATCCTAGAAAAAGACACTTCATCTCCGATTCCGAAACTATCCGGATTTTCGGAACCGGTGCCTCGAGTCAAGGTAGAAACGTACTCTGCCTCTGCTGAAAAATCTCAGTACCCGGGAGACCTCCGAACACCCTCAGAGCCATCCTGCCGTCGGCACCTGAGGTAGAAGCGTACTCTGCCTCTCCCGAGTTCGTCTCGGGGCCGATCGACACTTGCTCTCCAAATAAGCCTCTCCTAACTGCACCGGCCGCTCTCGAATGGAGATCCGCCACTTATATCGCGCCAACGCGACAGCCGGTGCATCCTACTACCTGCAGTTCGGCGGTGGCACGCCGAAATTGCATTTATGCCGAATTCGAAATTCTCCCGCGAGAGAATCCTCTCACGACTTTCGCGATGCGCCGCCCACTCTCGCGTCTACCCGACCGACCGTCCCGCGTGGGGGTACGCGCCGTACACCATCCCGCAATTTAACGCGCCCCTTACGCGTAGCCGTTACGCCTCCCGACTTCTTATACTCACGCGTTCGACGTTAACTTCGAAAATGACCCCGCGGCCATCAGTATCGGTTTCCAGACCTCCGCGATTGCAACCCGCCTTGACACCTGTCAACGATAGATTTTGTCCGTCGAGAAAAATGCGCCTACACGCCGGGATCCTATCTATTTTTCGATATCACGTGCCGGTGCATCCGCACCCCGTTTACATTGTATGTTATTCGCGCTCTGAGTATATTTTATATTATATAATATTTGCGCTTTGATTTTATGTCGTATATGCTCTATGCAATCCGCGCTCTGATTTTATTCAGTTTATATTGTATGTTATTTGCGCCCTGCGCATATTGCGTGTTATATAATCTTCGCGCTGTGATTTCATGTCTTATGCGGCCCGCGCTCTGATTCTATTCAGTTTATAGTGTATGTTACTCGCGCTTTGAATTATATGATATTCGCGTTCTGATTCTATTTTGTATACTATTGCAGTTTGATTGTTTACACGAATAAATGGCTTTATATCAGTATTAAAACCCATGAAGTTCTATCGACCCCTTTCACGAGCCCTGATTCCGACTGTGCAGTCCGACGCTCGCAACAAGCGACTGTTACAGTTTATGTAAATAAATTTTATATTAACAGTTTATATTAATAATTTTGTTTAAAAATGTTTTATAAGTTGTTTTTCATACGGGTAATATTTTTTATGTAATGTGACGTAATATTTTTTGTCCGTCACAAGGGCTGAAGGCCCGGCCGGGAAGACGGGAAGTTCGGGAACCTTTGTTCTCTCGCCAACTCTGAGAGAGAGAGAGCACCCGAAAAATAATTTTGCGTTTTCCTTCGCGTAGGAGGATGCGACTTTCGCACCCGTCCCGCGTATTACTTTTATTTATATATTTTTTGTTGTTTAGCGATTTTTGCGTTTTTGGCGAGCAATTTTGCATAGGGTTACGTGTCTCAACCGGAGAAGCAGAGAGAGAAAGAGAGAGTGAGAGAGAGAGAGAGTAAGAGGACGAAGAGGACGATTACGGACCGAGCAGAGGCCGTGGTGGCCACCGG